TTCTCATTTGAAAAGAGTTTTGAACTCAGTGTTGAAGGTGATAAGCTAATTAAATACCTCATTACTTTAACTTAATTAAAGTAAGTTCACAGTACTCATATAGATTAGTTTTTTTAACTCAAATGGTCTGTAGCAATCGGTTTCCTTAAATGATTTGAGTTGCCTTAACTTACCAGGTTTTACAGAACTCAGTTGGTTTGTCTTATCTTAATTTATTGGGTTTTACTGTGCTCAAATTTCTTTATTTACTCAAATGCACAGGTGTCAAACTCAGTTCCAAAAGGGCCGCATCTCTGCACAGTTTAGTTCCAACCCTAATTAAACACACCTTTTCAAACTATAATTGAGTCCTTCAGGCTTGTTTGAAACCTACAGGTAAGTGTGTTGGAGCAGGGTTGGAACTAAACCCCTGCTCAAATGGATTAAGTTCATAGTACTCTTTAAGATTAACTTTTGAACTTAAATGCATTGTTGCAGTCGGTTTTATCAAGTGGTTTGAGTTTCCTTAACTTTTCGGGTTTTACAGTGTTTTAATTAGGAAACATCAACATTAGATATATAGATTAATTATTTGTCAACTCTGTTACTATAATAGTTCAGTGAATTACTAACACATTTTCTTAAAAGCTATAGCAATATGATGAAAATACATACAATTCAGGTTTAGACATGTGGTTAGTCCTGTGGTATCTGGTTTGAGGTTAAAACAGAGGTTAAAATGTTGGAAAAAGTCAACTCTGTTTGAGATTTTAACGATTTAACAACACTTAGTAACATATTTAAATGTATTTTATCACATTTAAGCATTATCTGCATTAATAATGCATTCACTTTAGTATTAATGATACATTTTTGTTCTTTATGTCATTCTAATTTAAAGGAAAATGAATAAAAATCATACTGTATGTTGTCATGACTTATTGTTCATGTCATTTATTATAGTGCAGCATTGCTCATGTTTTGGCCAATTTTGCTTGCATTAAAGCTACTGACGTTCCTGAGGTTGTAGACCAGAACTTCAGCATCCAGCTGAGCGCCAGTATGGAGGATTTGAAAGAGGGAGATTCAGTCAACCTCACCTGTGAGACTCCTGCTGGAATGGCTTTCCACCAGCAGTGGCTGCATCCCCAAAAACAGGCAGGAATTTCATTTGATTTATTTCTCTCTCTTTGCTTTCTGTTTTGTGGTTATCTATTAGAAGAAAAACAGGCTTATCTAAAAGTCCAGGACTGAAGATGTATGGTGTGATGCAGAGGTGATATTTCCTCAGTCCATCTTTAACAGTAGGAAGGAAATGCAAAAATGTGAGGCTACAGAAGTGAAGCTAGAAACCTCAAAGGAAAAGAGTGACACTAATTTACCATGTGCTTTGACCTGTGACCTGCCCGTCCTGTGAGTGTTGAAGACAGATGTGCGTTTCTCACCTCTGTGCTCTTGTGAATCCACATGTGTGACGGTCAGGAACATACAAATAGTTGAATCAACATTTTTGAGGAAATTTGCTTCCTTAAATGAAATATTGCTGGTAGTAAGTTGTAGTTAAGGATAGTGTAATATGTTTTTTGTTTATTTTTTTGTGTGTGTTTGATTATTGTGAGTTTCGAATACAGAAATGTGATTATTAGTTGTTGATGCTGAATGTAGTTGAAATGAAAATGAAAAGAGGTTAGTTAGTCAGTAAGTCTGTCAGGTAGATAATTAGTTACAGAGTTAGTTGGTTTTATTTGACAATATCCTGTTGTTTATTGTAAGTTTTAATCAAACAATGTTAGCTTTATTTTATTTGTTGTTTGTGTGTACAGTGATGTTAGCTCCAAACCAAGAGATGTATGTTTAAGTTAATGGAACTCTTGAATGTGTATAAAAATATATATTTAATTTATATATATATATATATATATATATATATATATATATATATATATATATATATATATATATTTGGTGTTTGGTTAAAATTACTTAAAAAACAAGCAGATAGTTTTGAGGTTATAATATGTTAGTTAGTTTTGGATCTATTTGGTGGTGAGCATGAGTTCAAAACGTATAAGATGGTTTAGGGGTGTATTTTTGTATTTGATGAATAAAGAGAGTCTCTAATAAATGAATAATATATAGTTAGTTAGTTAGTTAGTTAGTTAGTTAGTTAGTTAGTTAGTTAGTTAGTTAGTTAGTTAGTTAGTTAGTTAGTTAGTTAGTTAGTTAGTTGTTTGTTGGTAGTTGTAAATTTCAGACAAGTTGTATTTTTGTATGATAAACATGAGAACCAAATTTAAAGATGTTAGTTAGTTAGTTAGTTAGTTAGTTAGTTAGTTAGTTAGTTAGTTAGTTAGTTAGTTAGTTAGTTAGTTAGTTAGTTAGTTAGTTAGTTGTTTGTTGGTAGTTGTAAATTTCAGACAAGTTGTATTTTTGTATGATAAACATGAGAACCAAATTTAAAGATGTTAGTTAGTTAGTTAGTTAGTTAGTTAGTTGGTTAGTTAGTTAGTTAGTTAGTTAGTTAGCTAGCTAGCTAGTTAGTTAGTTAGTTAGTTAGTTAGTTAGTTAGTTAGTTAGTTAGTTAGTTAGTTAGTTAGTTAGTTAGTTATTTATAGGTCCAGTTTAAAATGTTTTGTTGTTATTTGTTGGTAATTGAAAATTCCAGACAAGTTAGCTAGTTTTTTTTTTTTTTTTTTTTTTTTGTATTTGATGAATGTGAAAACCAAATGTAAAGATGTTAAATGGTTGGTTACTTAGCTTAAGTTCTAAACATTTTGTTGTTATTTGTTGGTAATTGTAACTTTTAATCAAGTTTGCTTGATGGCTTTTTTGCATTTGATGAATGGAAATACTATATTAAAACTTAGTTGGTTGGTTGGTCGGTCGGTCAGTCAGTCAGTTAGTTAGTTTGTTAGTTAGTTGGCTAGTTATTTAGTTGTCATTTTTGTGTGTATTTGATAATGAATGTGAGTTCTGAATTAAAAGATGTTGGTTTATTAGGTTAGTTTGTTCCACGCCTCTGTTGTTGTTTGTTTAAGTGAATTTGTCAGAAGCATTATCTTTAAAAATGAGCCAACCTCTGTTTTTGAAAGCAGCGTGGAATTGTGTAGAGAGCTTCCAAGCCTGATCTGGAACAGAACTGAGCTGAGTTTGTTAGTGATGAGTTTGCTGCATTCAACTGTGATTATAGCCCTTAAAAGACTGGTGTAGAGCTGATTTATCTCCAGAAGACTGTACTGATACACAGGCACAGGCTAACCCTGGAATAAAACCTGCTACTTTGCAAAGAAAAGGGTGACCATTATAAATACAATAGAATATACATAGTCTATATATTATAAAAGGGAAAAATTCAGTCAGCATGCCCATTTATAATAAACACAATGTTTTTAATATTTGATCATAGCTTTTTTTTTCTGTCCTTGCTGTCTTCATACTCAGGCCAAAGACGGGGTCCCAATAAAGTTAACTCTCCAAGATAAGATCCAGTACATCCTCAACATCCCAAAAGCTTCTGTGGAAGACACCGGACGCTATGAGTGTTCTGTGACAAACCAGCTTACTAGACAAACCAGGTCCAAAAGCCTGGGCATCACAGTTCACGGTATGATTTTCTCACTCACACTCCGCACACCTCTGCTTTCACCATTAAAACCAGTAAACGGAGATGGACTGAACAGATGTGCAATAAACAATCAATCAATGTCTACTTTCTTTCTTTCTTTCTTTCTTTCTTTCTTTCTTTCTTTCTTTCTTTCTTTCTTTCTTTCTTTCTTTCTTTCTTTCGTTCTTTCTTTCTTTCTCAGAGAGCTCATTTGTGGAAATTATATCTAATGGTATTGGGCCAGTGGAGGTTGTGTCTCTTCTGGAGGAAAAAGAGTTCACTATTTACATTGATGCTGACCCTGAGCCAAAGGTCACATGGTTTAAAGATGGACAGCCATTGGAGGACAGCTACATCTTCTCTAAGACCACTCATCTAGAAAACCTCAGGTAAAATTGTTTACAAAAAAAACAACAAATCTCTTGCATGTTTTTTTATAATCTCTATTACTGACAATGTTTTTGTAGAATTATATTTTAATATTAATATTAGACTACTTTGCAGTAATCTAAATATTGCTGTTTTATTGCTACTTATTACTTATCTATTTTATTACTATTAACCTAATTAGTAGAAAGTAGTATTAGAAAATGATGGTGCACTTTATATTAAGTTTCATAAACTTGATGATTTATTTGATCATTTATTGCATATTAAAAAAATAATAAATTGTATTAAAAATCTCAATCAGAATTTTAAGACATTTAAAAACTAGATTTTTCCGAGTGATTTTTACCAGATGTAGTATTGTTCATATTAGAATAACTTTGCTCAAAGATGAAGACCTTACTCAATGTTTGTACTGCAAAATTCCTCTTACACTAAAACATATTTTACTGGTCTAGCCTGCTTTTAAAGACTTTTTTTTTTTTTAAATAAAATTAACTCTCTTCATTTTTATCAAAGTGACACCTGGAAAAAGTTAAGTATTTTTATCATGTATTAGTGCTTAAATTTTTTTTTTTAATTAATGTATTCATTTTGTTTGTTGATTTTTAGTTGCATATTTATTATTGAAATGTTCTTGCCATAAAAATAGCCTTGGTTGCTGACATGGCATTAAATAAAAATACATTACATTACATTATTACAATTCAATTATGGTTTGGATGCATTTAATTTAAATAAAATAAAATATTATATAAACAGCTTCTCTATTTTGGTTGATGTTATTTTGGTTTGTTTTATATTTATGCATTTTGAAGTACTCAAAAATATTAGCACATGGATAAATTAATTGTGAATCAAAATGATCTAATGCCATAAAACTATTGCTTAAGTGTTCATAGTTTATGATATCTATTTGTTTTAACCAAATTAATCCTATTGAAAGGATCACCAGTTTATTAATATAACTACAAAAATTGCAATGCCTTCTTTCCTACAAAGGTATGAAAATATTCTGATTCTCCGACACCCTGTAGAAGAAGACAGCGGCATTTATGAGATCGTTGCTTCCACCGGCTCCAGGACTTCACAATTTTCATTCAAACTCCTCATTGAAGGTACAGTATTCATTTTGTACAAACTATGTATGAAGTGCCCACATTGTTTCTTAAACCCACACCTACAGCATTTGCCTTTATAATAAATAATTGTTTTGCTTTTATACAGTCATGTTCCCGGTGCTGCCACAGTCAGTTCAGGCTCCACTGATTTGGCCCCAGAGGGAGAGTATGGAGGTGTCTCTGCACTCCACTTTCAGACTCACATGTCGAGGTCAAGCCGAGCTCTCCTGGAATGGCCCTGTTTTTATTGATGACCAGACCAACAGTGTAAAGAAAGGACTCTTTATTAGCACTGTGACAATTAGCAATGCCACAGCTGTCCATACAGGAGAGTACGTCTGCTCTTCTGAACCCTTCAACAGCACTGAGTCCACCATCTACATTTATGTGCCAGGTATAAAATGGTTTGTCACCGTATACTCCTTTAATCCAGTCATTTTTTGTGTGTCTAGGGTTTGTCTTTTAGCCATAGACTTTCTAATGTTATAAACAAATTTTTTGTATAGATTTTGTGAGACCTTTTTTATTTGGCCATATGCTGCTCAGAATAGGCATAAGGTAAATTTATTAGCTTAAATGTTTCCACCAACTAATTTTGTCTTGTTTAATTAAGCGTTTCGAAAGTCTGAACTGTGTTTTAACACAATTTTGTGACACATCATACAAATGAATGACTTGAATAGATTTGGTGAATTCTTATGGCTTAACTCTATTACAAACAAATCACATAACTCAAAAATATGTTTACTGAGCCACTAAACTGATACAGATGCAAAAAAATAATAAATAGCAAAAGACTATAGATTTCTTTCAGTCAAAAAATATTCAGAATATTTTTTACCTCAATTGTACATGGTGAGCTGACAATTTTATTTCTTCCCCTGCACACAGATCCACAAACCCCATTTGTGCCGTCCATGACCCCGTTTGAAAACCACGTGCTGACGAGTTATGATGAAATGGAGATTCCCTGCCGTGTGACGGATCCCAGTGCCAGCGTCTCTCTCATCCACATGGAGACCGATCAAGTTATGCCCAGCGCCTACGACAGCAAGAGAGGATTCATCGGGCTCTTCGGCGCTGGGACGTATGTCTGCCGAGCCCTCATTCATGGACAGAATCATGACAGCATTGAGTACATTGTTCATGGATGGACAGGTGATACATATTGGATTTTGTTTTGTTATGTTTTTTTTGGCTATTCTTCAGTCATACTTTTAATTTAATGTTCCAATTCAACATTATTATTATTATTATTATTATTTTTAATCTAAAAACTGTTTTGTTCTGACATATTTTCTTCACCTGAGAAGCAAAACTGGAAAAATAATCTTAATTTTTTCATCTTTTATTTTATGTTTGTTTCCCTTAAATACTAAATATATAAAAGATTAATTTCAGAATATTTTTGGGCTTGAATAGAGTTGGACCTACGTCGTAAAATGATTATTGTTCTTAATATGCCTGACGAGATATTTTGCCTGATATTTTCTTTTGTATATAAACTATTGTTACACTAAATCTATTTTGGCCTGTCTATTGTAAATAATCTTTTTGCTACTGTAATTAAGTAAAAAACTTGCAATATGAACTATGCAATATAAAAAGTTGTAATATAATATAATATGATATAATATAATATAATATAATATAATATAATATAATATAATATAATATAATATAATATAATATAATATAATGTAATATAATATAATATAATATAATATAATATAATATAATATAATATAATATAATATAATATAATGTTTCCGAACCACATTCCTGGAGGCCCATCAACAATGCATGCTTTGGATGTCTCCTGTCAAACCCATTACAGGTCTTTCAGTCTCTGCTTGATCTGATTCAGGTGTGTTTGGTTGAGGAGACATGAAAATGTACAGAGCTTGTGGTCCTTCAGAAACGTGTTTGAGAAACACTGATGTAATATAATACATGTAATATGCTTTGTGTAAATTTTATATTGACGTAAACTTATTCCAGAAGTTTATTGTTTAAGTTTATGTTTTAGGAGAAACTGAATTTTGTCTCTTACTATGCATATTAACACAACTTATCTCAACTACATTGTGTTGTCAATCAGGAGGGTCTGATTTGCGAGTGGAGCTGCGGGCAGTGAAGAGAACTCTGCTGGTGGGTGAGACTATCACTGTTGACTGTGTAGCCAAAGGCAGTGAGATGCTGGAGGACCACTGGAAATACCCTGGCAAACTGGTAAGACAGATTTTACATTCACAGATTAAGATAAGAAAAGATAAGATAAGATAAGATAAGATAAGATAAGATAAGATAAGATAAGATAAGATAAGATAAGATGTTTAAGCACACTTTTTAAAATTTAATTAATTTTATTACACTGCTCTCTGGAATACTTGATTCTGATTGGTCAGCCATGGTATGTTATTCCACGATAACAACCACCAAATAACACAGGCTCATCCGGGTACTTCGAATCATCTTGATTCAAGTGAATACTGAAAATTCTAATTAATATACAGAATATGCTTGTCTGTCACACCACTGTTTTTGATAGTTTGGTGCAATCTTGTGATTGTGATTGAAACAAAAATGGCTGAATAGAGCCTGCACTAACCTACACATTAGCGTATGCTCCGTTCAGCCATTTTTATTTCTGTCAGCTTTGCATTTAATAATGTTTTGTGTCTGTTTTTTTACATTTTGTGTCAAGTATTAAACTGCATAAAGTATATCCATATGATTGTTTTCACAGAATACATATATGCTGCAGGATTTATTCTTGATTTAATCTGTGATAACAACAGCCAATATGTTCTTTATCCCTTACGCATTGTCTTGTCGTTTACCATCAGGCTAATCGTGGAACAAAGACTGTAAAGGAGAATAAGCTAAATCTGGAGATCTATTATACTCTGACAGTGACTAATGCCTCACCAAAAGACAGCGGCATCTATGCCTGCTCCATCACTGACATCATGAGCAACGAGAGCCAAACCAAAGAGCTGACTATTACTGTCTATGGTACAGAGATGTCATACAGTATATACTCACATAAAGTACACACGTTTCATTCATCGGCATTCCTAATCTGGTCACTTGGTTTCAGATCATGAATTTGTCCACATCAATCCATTGATCGGTCCAGTGGAAACTGCCAGGCTGGACGAGGTGCCAGAGTTTAAAGTGGACATAGAGTCTTTCCCTGCACCCAAAGTTACATGGTTAAAGGACAGCGCTGTCCTGGGAGATGATACTGCAGAGATCAGCACCAACCTCCTCAAAATCGGCGAGACCAGGTAAACAGGACTTCCTCCTCACCAACATGCTTAAATACTTTGGACATATGAATTGATCTGTAATAGCGGACAAAGCAATAGTGTCTATACAATGAAAACATGACTGGCTGAAATATAAAAGTTATGCATGCTTGTGTGGTACAACATTACTGTCGCATTCAATGTAGTCGGCACATCATTGTCTTTTAGTTTCAGTTCTTCTGGAAAACCAGTGTTTAATTGTGCCTTGTTTGTCAAGGACAATCAGCTGAACAAAGGACAAAGTTCTTACTGATGTTGACAGGAACTTAAATTGAATTAACAATAAATTATTAATTATTAATTAATTATTATTAATTCACTCTTTCCTAATATTTGTGATCAGCAAAATTCAGCCTTTTGTTACCCTTGCAGCATCTTTATCATTTGTTTTTTGTAGACCTGCATCTGCCTCTCTAACATACTGAATCAGTGGACAGAAATAAACAGGCAGCGAAGCAGGTGTTGAGATTCTTTTTCCTGTGGAGGAAGAGTTTAGACACACAATTACAGTACATAATAAAGAAGTTTATTCCAGAACCTGTTGATTTGGCAGGTTTTGACTCAAAGACTAAGCTGTTTTAGACTAATGTTTTCACTTCTGAAACTCAACACAATGTTTTTCATAGAACAATGGCCTCTTATATCTTAAAAAGATACAGAGAAGTATCTTGGTTAATGACCCCTTTAAAGGAAATATAATTTTTTCTATGAATACATTGACAACAAAAAAATATTTTTAAATCTGTTATAATGTATTTCCTCAGTTACAAGGGTGTGTTGAACCTGATCAGAGCTAAAGCAGAGGACAGTGGAAACTACACCGTCAAGGCAGAAATAGGCAGCATAAGTACCAGCTACAGTTTCTACCTTCAGGTTAAAGGTAGGAGCTTTACTTTTACCTACATTTGCACATGTTTGCTTTTGGCTGTGCTTGCTGTTTGTTTATCTCAATGCACCTCTACATCTTTTTTGGCTATATTTTACATACATTTGTTTATGTTTTGATTGTTGTCAACTGGAGAATCTTTGTCAACCAATCTGTATCTACATGTACATACAGTACAAGTGCTGGTTCTCTTGTATCTGTCCTGCTAATTAAAGGTGGACAGAATACTAGCAATATATAGATGTTAAATTTGCTAAATGTTACAGGTTTCCATTTTTAATTAATTCTACTCTTAACTCACTGCAACATTTAATTGCATTTAGCAGTGTAAAATATATACATAAATTTGAGCGTTTTTCAGCTTTTGCAAATTGTTGAAATCATTTTTGCATTAAACAAGTGTTTCAGTGACAGCTCAGGCCTATACTATATTTTTAATGCAAAAAAGTCTCACCAAGCTGCATTTATTGGATAAAATGTGATATATTATGACCATTTTTTAAATAAAACATTTTAATATATTTTAAAATTCAATTCATCTACTGTGTGTGATGGCTGGAGTAAAAAAAAATGGCAGTGAAAATGTTGGCATGGAAAGTAGAAACAAAAACCTTTCCCTTCTTCAGTTCCCCCTGTGATTGTGGACCTGATCGACGTCCATCATGGTTCTGCTGCGGGTCAGGAAGTGGTATGCACTGCTGGCGGCTCCCCATTCCCTGAAGTGGACTGGTATATCTGCAAAAACCTTAAACAGTAAGCTTTTCCTCCTTCTTTTACTCTGTTACCCCTCAGGTATTATCTCTCTATTTCTGCCTGTCTTCATTCTACACTATTTCCTTCAATATAAGCAGCACAAGATCGGTAAATGAGACACATCCCTAGAGTATAAAGTCAAGTCACCATAATGAATCATGCTGACCTCATTTTTCTTTCTTCCACCAGCTGTGCCAATGATTCCTCCCAGTGGATGCCACTTCCGATCAACTCGACGGACATCACAGTGGAACTGCAAATGAATGTGGACAACCACATTGAGAGCCACATTATTTTCCACCATCTTGAGGGCACAGTCGCTGTGCGCTGTCTGGCCAGGAATGACATGGGTGTTGTTTCACGGGAGGTTAAACTCATGTCAAGTGGTAAGAAGCCTGTTGTGGACTGCTTTTTTTATTTAAAGAGCAACAGAGATGACATTTAGAAACCAGTCTGTTCATCCTAAGTGCTCTTCAATCTCCTAGTGTCCATTGTTTGGTTGTGGGTTCATAAGGTAAAGAAAGTTTGAAGCTGATTTGAAAGTAATTTGAATCGCAGGTGTACAGTTTATTTAGCACTGAATTGCTGGGAGTAGATTTGCTCAGAGGCTATGTTCTGTTTGTTTAGGTTTCAGTCAGTGTTAGGAAACTTGTGTTTGTGTGATTATTTGTTCATTGTTGTTTCAGATCGGGGCTAGGCTATTTGACAGACATCCATTATCTCGATATAAGTCATCATATATCCTAATAACATTAACCCTACATATGTGGGCAGCACATTTTAGCTCTTAGGTGGCTATTAAGTGACATACAGTGTCATCCTGCAACTGTTTTGCAGCATATAAAATGTCCCAAACACTGTTTTTAACTGTCAAAAATGGGAAAAAAAAAATAGTTTTTACTCTCTGATATTCAAAACATGTTCAAAAAAAATTAGATGTTATATATGCATTAAAAAAAAGTCAGGAAAAGTTGTTTAAGTAAATTCGGACCACGAGTCTACATATATAAACATAATTTTTCTTTAAAAGTACATCATATCAAAAGATAATACTTAGGTTTTTATTCTAATTAGGTTCCAATAAGCCCAAATAGCAAAGAGAAATAAAAAAAATGCATGTAAAAAAACACCCTGGGCCTCAAGAGGATATTCACTCACCGGCCACTTTATTAGGTACACCTTACTAGTATCGGGTTGGACCCTATTTTGCCTTCTAAAAATCCCTTAATACTTCATGGCATAGATTTATCAAGGTACTAAAATATATTAGTTTTTGGTCCATATTGACATGATGGCATCACATAGTTACTGCAGATTTGTCAACTGCACATCCATAATGCAAATCTCTTGTTCCACCCCATCCGAAAGATGCTCTATTGGATTGAGATTGGGTGACTGTGGAGGCCATTTGAGTACAGTGAACTCATTGTCATGTTCAAGAAACCAGTCTAAGTTGATTTGTGCTTCATGAAATCAGAAGATGGGTACACTGTGGTCATGGTCAGGGATGGACATGGTCAGCAACAATACTCAGATAGGTTGTGGCGTTGACACAATTATCAATTGGTACTAATGGGTCCAAAGTATTCCAAGAAAATATCCCTTACACCAGTACACCACCACCAGGCTGAACTGTTGATACAGGGCAGGATGAATCCATGCTTTCTTGTTGTTTATGCCAAAACTGACCCTACCATACAAATGTAGCAGCAGAAATTGAGACTCATCAGACCAGGCAACATTTTTCCAATCTTTTATTGTCCAATTTTGGTGAACCTGTGCAAACTGTAGCTTCAGTTTCCTGTTCCTAGCTGACAGGAGTGGCACCTGCTGTAGTCGTCTGCTGCTGTAGCCCATCCGCCTCGAGCTTCGATGTGTTGTGCATTCAGGGATGCTCTTCTGCATGACTAAGTTGTAACGAGTGGTTATTTTAGATACTTTTGCCTTTCTATGAGCTCGAACCAGTCTGGCCATTCTCCTCTGACCTCTGACATCAACAAGGCATTTGCACCCACAGAACTGCCACTTACTGGATATTTTCTCTTTTTCAGACCATTCTCTTTAAACCCTAGAAAAGGTTGTGCGTGAAAATCCCAGTAGATCAGCAGTGTCTGTAATAGGCCAGCCCGTCTGGCACCAACAGCCAAGCCATGTTTAAAGTCACTTAGATAACCTTTCTTCCCCATTCTGAGGCTCAGTTTGAACTGCAGTAGATCGTCTTGACCATGTCCACATGCCTAAATGCATTGAGTTGTTGCCATGTGATTGCCTGATTAGAAATTTGTGTTAACGAGCAGTTGCACATGTGTGCCTAATAAAGTGGCCCGTGAATGTATATCACAATATATTAGCTTTTCTCTAAATTCAATCGATTAATAGTTTATTTACATTGCCCACATGGAAAGGACTATTTAATTGATTTTACGTTTGAAAGTATATACTTACTGTACATTTTAAAGTATATAAAATATAGAAAATCTATTCATTCATATGTGGTCATATTTCTCAATTTATTTAATTCTTGATTAAGTATAAGTATATTTGATATAACTAATAACATAAAAGACATGTAATATTTTTAAGTTAAATGCTAAATGTAAACCTTGTACTTTTAAGATTGCAATATTCTCATGATGTTGTTATCCATGGTTCTGTCTACATCCCCGTAACGGCAAGAAATATTGCACACATATAAATTATGAAGAAGTATTACTATAAGCAATGTATTTTGCAACGCCATGAAATAAATAATAGAGCATAATATGAAGCGATAGGCTTTTTATTTTGTCCATACGATATACATTGTCATTTTGCACAGCCCTACTTCAGATGCAGCTAATACTACTTCAGTAGCCCGTACATCTGTTAGCCTCATTTTGTAATCCATGCCTGTCTTGTCCGGCTCCCCATGTTGTTTTCCCGTGATAGATTCCTCAGGTGGACTGTCCTCAGACTTTCGAAACAAATCCATATGTGTTTACACTAGTTTCTGTTGGCAGGGGTTTCGCTTCACTAAGATGCAGCTTAAATGAATTGCTCACACTGGGCACATTGATTAATACAGAAGCTTACTGTACAAGACTGATGCAGAAAAATTAATTTTTTCTTTTATGTTGACTATTAGATATGTTAAGGAAAAGCTAGTTTGTTTTGGTGATTGTCTCAGATCAGTTTTGCAGCATATGCTTCCACCTTGCTCTTCCTCATTGCTGCTGGTGTGTTCAGGTCCGCATTCGGAGCTCACTGTGGCTGCTGCGGTTCTGGTGCTGCTGGTCATTGTCATCATCTCACTCATTGTGCTGGTCATTATATGGAAACAGGTACTCACTCATTCATCCTCTTACTTACTCATTCATATGGTCTCAGTCACTATCTCGTTCACTTCACACATTCACTCAGTCTTCCAGTAATTTAAAGCATTTTCAAATTTACTCACATACACAATGACTCACTCACCCTCTCAACTTGCTATTTAATTATAAACTCGTTCTTCTACACTCAGTCACCTAATAACTCAAGTACATGTTCAGCCATTCCCTCATTCTCACTCAGTCACCTACTAACTTACTTATGTAATCAGTCATTCACTCTTTTGCTCTCAGTCAATCACCTACTAACTTACATACTTATTTTTACCATTCAGTCACTCACTCATACTGAGTCACCTAATAACTCATGTACCTGTTCAATCATCAGTCATTCATGAAAATATTCAATCATTTACTGACTCAACTCACTCACACTCAGAAACCTACTAACTTAGATTCCCATTCGATTATGTACTTGTCTCATTCTCTCTCACCTAAGTTACTCTCACTTAATCACTTGCTAACTTACCCTTTCAACCAATGCACTCCCTCACACCCAGTCACACTCACCCACTCACTCACTCACTGACTCACTCATTCACTCACTCATTAACTCACTCGCTCGCTCGCTCACTCACTTACTCAATCTTATATTCAGTTTCACTCACTTTAATTTACTCAATCACTTGCTCACTCAATCACTCACTCACTCACATACTCACTCACTCACTCGCTCACTCTCTCTCACTTACTCATTCACTTTCACTCAATTACTCAAACACTTGCTTAATCATTCATTCATTCATTCTCTCTCTCTCTCTCTCACTCACTCACTCAATCACTTATTCATTGACTCTCACTGACTTAATTACTCGCTCACTCACTCACTCATTCATTCACTCACTCACTCAAACACTCGCTTACTTACTCAATCACTCACTCTCACTCATTCACTCAATCACTCACTCATTTACTCTCACTTGCTCACTCACTCCCTCTCTCACTCACTCTAATTCACTTGCTCACTCACTCACTCACTCACTCACTCACTCACTCATTCACTCACTCACTCACTCACTCAAACACTCGCTTACTTACTCAATCACTCACTCTCACTCATTCACTCAATCACTCACTCATTTACTCTCACTTGCTCACTCACTCCCTCTCTCACTCACTCTAATTCACTCGCTCACTCACTCACTCACTCACTCACTCACTCACTCACTCACTCACTCACTCACTCACTCACTCAGTGCATTCCAAACTGGATATATATCCCTTCGAATGGCACTTTGAAATGAAAACAGTCATAGTCACCATATTGAATTATTGTTTCAAATTAAAGTTCTTAAAACTGACCATTTCGAAGGGCCCTTCAGAATGAAGGATTCATCTGGTGGACATTTTGTACTCCCATGATTCTTTCCTAACAGAACACAGTGTTAGTCACCTGCTAACTCATGCACCTGTTCAATCACTCACTCACTCATTCACTCACTCACTCACCTATTCAGATATACACCCACTCATGCACACATTCACATATCCACAATTCACTTATTCTTGTAGTCAGTCATGGACATTTGAGCAAAGCATAAACACAATACATCAATGCAGTCATGTTACTTTAGCCATGGCTTAAATGAGATTTAAAATTGAACTTCCATCAATTTATTTGTGTGAATGACACCTCTCTCTTTTTACAGCCCGTTTGTGGAACAATCCAACTGTCTTCCAGCATCTGTAACCATCTCATTCACTGACTACATGAAAATCCCTCTCTCTGTCTCTTCTACATTTATTTACAGAAACCACGTTATGAGATTAGATGGCGCGTGATTGAATCAGTCAGTCCGGATGGGCACGAGTACATCTATGTCGATCCCATGCAGCTTCCATATGATTCCCGCTGGGAGTTCCCTCGGGATGGACTCGTTCTGGGTGAGTCACATTTGTGATGAATCAGTCCACCATGATCCTATCCTAGAGTTTTGTGTGGCCTAACCAGCTTCAAACAACACTTTGTTGTGGTCATGTACTTATTTGGATTGCGGTTTGCATTTTAGCTCTATCCTAATCTTGCATTATTACTATTGCATGTGCAAATCCTAGGTGTTTTATTTTTCATACTCATTGAGGTTTTAACTCAAACTTCAAAAAAAAAGATCTTGCGCTAGCGGGAATTCAGTGTGGTAATGCAACGCTTTGTGTCTGCATGCTCTCTTACACCAGATAATGTTTCTGTGGCATCCTCTGGTTATGCAAATTAGTTAAAAGTATTTGCGTGTGTTTGTATGTGTGTTTTGCAGGTCGCGTCCTGGGTTCAGGAGCTTTTGGTAAAGTGGTGGAGGGTACTGCTTATGGACTAAGCCGTTCTCAGCCTGTGATGAAAGTTGCTGTGAAAATGCTTAAGCGTAAGTTAACTGAAAGATAAACCTAATTTTTGTGAAAGGTGCCATTAACTATAAATCTGTATACATAGGCAGCTGAATCATAAAAGTTCAGTAGATTGAAATGCCATCTCAGACAATTACAACCATTTTATTTGTATAATATTTTTCTCTCTTAATTTTAAGCAGAAATTAATTATAGTTATCTATATATTTATCTAAATTTTATTTATTATCTAAGCTTTTATTAAACATAATGTGTGTGTGTGTGTGTGTGTGTAAAATTATTGTCAACAAAGTCATTATAATCAATTAAACCATTAAAAAAATATTAATCAGTATTCATGACCATTCCAGGTATGGTAAAAACCAATATTTTCATTCTGTGAGTAATTCCTTTGGTTAACTTGAGCAAATTTCTCAAGATAAGAGCACCTAATGCGGGGTTCACCTCAAACAGAGACTGTAAATACTTAATTTTGTGGTTTGAGCCCAGCATAAGCGACAAACCTAATGTATATCAGAGAACACTTTAACATATTGAATCAGTGCATCCTGTTGCACATTTAATGTTTTTATTTACGCGTTAGATAATAGTTTATATGATTGTTTTCGTTTTGTTTTCAGCGACCGCCCGTTCCAGTGAGAAACAAGCTTTGATGTCAGAGCTGAAAATCATGACCCATCTGGGCCCTCACCTAAACATTGTTAACCTTCTGGGAGCGTGTACCAAATCAGGTGAAAAAAATGCACAAACCCACCAATTTCCAACACAAACCGGCCATCTCTAGGGTGTTTTCCTTTTGGTCTGAGGGTTTTTTTTTTATTGTGTGGCGTTTTAACGGGTGAAGTTAAGTGCAATGTAGAGCTTAAACCCCTGCTTTTAGACATTTTACAAGTCTCTGATAAGGTTAGAGCAGTTTTATTAACCCCGCTTTCTGTTTTTCTCTCTCAGGACCAATCTACATTATAACAGAGTATTGTTTCTATGGAGATCTGGTGAATTACCTTCATAAGAACAGAGATGGGTTTCTCAGCCGGCACACAGAAAAGGGAAAGAAAGATCTAGACATCTTTGGCATCAACCCAGCCGATGAGAGCAGCAGGAGGTCAGCCAGCACACACACCCACACGAAAGATATGATCCACTGCATAGAAAAAAAAAATGTTTTAGGTCCAAACATTATGTTAAGAATTATTTATCTTGCTTGCTAATCTGATTGAGAAATGAGTGTCGGGATTAAAATATAATTTGTTGCTGAAGTTATCTTAAACTACTGATATTTTTATACAGTATATGGAGTTAACTTTATTTCATTTGCAGCATACACTCACAGAGACTTTTCAAATTTGGCATATATATAAATAATAATTTAAAACCATGGTGCTCTAAATAATTATCCAGTCTACTAGCCATCAACTGTTACTGAGGGAAGAGGAATTTAAAAACATTATTGCTTGCGGAATAAATGATAACTTCTTACACACCTGGGAACACAATTTCGACGGCTCGGTAATAATTGGAAGGTGTTTAATAAAGGATGTCTCTCATTATTGACAATCATTTCTTTGTATATACTATCAATGCTCTTTAGTTTTATTCCCAACAACTTACTGGCTGTTGTTACCACCTTTCCCAATGACCTCTTCTAGGCCTCAGAAGTATTCATACCAACAGATTACACAAAATGTTGCAATACTTTCGATAAAAGCACTATAAAACATAATCAACAATGTGTAGTCAACATTAAAAGATAACAGTTTCTTTAAGAAGTACATTCTCTGTTGAAGGCAGTTCCTTATACAGTCAGTTCATACATCCCACTTAAATTTTTTGCCCAACATTACACCCAAATATGTATAATTGTTACTAACTGAATTTGCTCCTCATTAAATAATGTGGGATGAGTTTTGCTTTGTGAACTCTCTCTAAAATCAATAACCATCTTCTTAGTTTTAGAAATGTTTAGGAGAAGGTTTGAATTTTCACACCAGTCTAAAAAGAAGTCAAGAACAGGCCTGTGTTCTTCCTCCTCTTCATTTAAAAGGCTCACCAAAGTGGTATCATCTGCATACTTTACAATATATATATATATTTGTAAATGAATTCATACAAAAATGTGTATATAAAATTATTAACAGAGATAAAACACAACCCTGTGGAGCTTCTATTGAAGTACACATTTTATCTGAAATAAAACCTCCCATTTTAACCTGTTGGATTCTAAGAAAATTGTTCTCCCAGGCAATCATTTTGTCATTTCATAAAAATAGGCAGCAAACAAAATCCATTATTGTAACTGTAACTTTTTCACTGACAAATTCTTTTCCTTTTTTTATTTACATATATTCATATGCTTTAAGCTAAACCATCCAGCTGATATTAATCACAACATTAAGCAAAGACATTTCTGAGAAAAGATCTGCAGTCTACACATAAAGCAATCCCGATTAAATTTAAATATTATTACAACATGAATAAAATACGTAGTCTGTATCTACAGAAACAATATATCACAAGTTCTATGCAAATATTGATGTATTTTGGGAACAAATGCTTTATTACACCATTCTAATTGTTTCATGCGGGTGGACGGACCTAATGAAAACAATTTTAATACTTGTAGGTAACAGTAACTTACATTTGTGACACTTCCTTCAGAGAATACTCTGGAATTTACTAGATGTACATTTCAAATTAACGCACAAAAATTGTTGATCTAGATCTGGACATTCACTTACTAATAAGATTATTTGGATGTTCTATTACTAAACGGCCTAGTCATTCATCAGCCTGACCAATAGAACAGATAGTGTGAGTGTTTTCTTTGGCTAGAGTCTGGCATTCTCCCCTGACTTATTATTTTTGTGCATATGTGTGTGTGTGTGTGCAGCTATGTCATCCTGTCTTTCGAGGGGAAAGGTGATTATATGGACATGAAGCAGGCAGACACCATGCAGTACGTCCCCATGCTGGAAATGAATGAAGCCTCAAAATACTCTCCCATCCAGAGATCAGACTACGATCATCCTCCCTCTCACAGACAATTCAATGGTGAGAAAGCAACAGCCCTCTTATAAGGATAGATCATGCAGCAACAGTAGGTCATATTCTGACATCATCTGCTCAATATAATGTTGTTTCAAAACTACATGACTTTCATTTTTTCTATAAAATACAAAAGCAGACATTTTGAAGAATGTACTGGTTGCTTCTTTTCATTCATTTATAATGAATGGGACCTAAACTTTAAGAATGGACACACATACACTGTAAACATGTAATAAAGAGTGATTTTAGCAGTCAAATCAAAATCCTGTGAAATATAGATACTATTGTATTACTATTAACACAATATATATATAGGTAGTAGCACACTATACATTGACAATATTAGATTATATAAAGCATAATAATTTGAATAAGAAAATATACTGAGAACAAAAATGAGAGATGGGAGGTTATGAAGTAAAAATACATCACTACAGTAATTATTTATTAATTAAATATGTTTATTTTTACTTGTTATTTTACTCAGTACATTATTATACAAATCTCTGTGCTTGTTACTTATTTTGTTAAATCAGGTGCTTTAGTTTTTATTTGTTTAACTTTGCATTATTGAATTTATGAAAACATTCTACTATTTTTTTTACCTTTTTTTTCTGTTTTTCTTAAATAAGTGCTTCAATGTTTTATTGTTATCGCTTTCTTATCATCGACATATCAATTATCATCAAGTCAATTTAAAGCTTTTAGTAATAATAAATTATTTTGTATCTTCAATGTTAGTGTACGGGGTGGGCCATATGGATACACCTTAATAAACTTATTGGGAATTTCACAAGAAAAAACAATGTTGTGCTTGGTTTTAACGTAACTTTATTCTTTGAGCTACTTACAAGCCCCCTTACATATACTAATGTGCCACAAACAGGTCGTTGATATTACCAACCATTCCCATTTTATTAAGGTGTATCCATATAAACGGCCCAGCCTGTAGATTCATTTTATCATCATATTATCTTTAGTGCAGGCCATGTGTTTACTAAGGCAACGTATTTAGTAAATGTTCATTAACTACAGTATCTAACTACAGTATTTCTAAGGTTAGCTAGTTTTCACTTTCATTGGTAAAAAATGTGCTTAATTCTATATGCTGGGTGTTCATATGATCCAGTTACCAGCATGAGACTACTACTAGGTAGTAGTAAGTGCTACTTTTTACTTAAGCACATGGCTGAGACCTTTATACCTTACTAAAAAAGTGCAGTCACTCAGTTCAACTTATACCAGCGTTATTTTAAACACGAGTATCTGTACTTCTTCTTGAGTAAAGGATGAGTAAAATTTCTCTCTGCTTTTTACTTTCTCTGCGCTTTCTCTCTTATTTTACTTATAATGTCAAATGATTTAATAAAAAAGAACCAAATAATTGTTTCCTAATCTCACAATCTAAGCAAATTTCATCCATGAACAGCATCTTAAACAGTAGTCAGTTCTGCACACTTTGAACATAGTCTTATTGTCCTTTTAAATTCTACCTCATGCTGATTTTACATCCGTTTTGAAGTTTGAAAGCCCTAGTTCAATGTAACTGCACTAGAAAGAGCATGAAAAACTATTTTCTCCTTGTGAAAAAACAGGAAAGTCATACAGGTTTGGAACTACATCAGAGTGAATAAATATTTTTGGATGAACTCTTCCTTTAATCATAAATCACATCTCCACCTCTTTGCCTTTCCTGCTCTGTTTTCTCATTCTTAATCCTTCAGATTTTTTCCCTTCTGCATTTTATTTTTCGGTCTGTCCCTCGTTTACTGCACGTACTCCGGTCTGTTTGGCATGCTGTGTTCTGGTTTGGCTTGACTGGTAGTCGAGACACACAAACGTGCACACACACACACACTGATGTTTAGCTAGTGATAGCAGAGCGGTCCACCCATGTTACTGCAGTCTGTGCACCCTACAATTACAAAGGATAATTGTAGCACACGTCTTAATGCATACATCTGCCTGCCATTCCTCTGATTTTATGTACTCATACTGCCATCTTGGTGGGGACACCTTGAACTTTTGTTGTTCTTATATTGACGTATCATTACTTTTGCATATTTAAATTTTTAAATAAACACCTTGTAGTAAATTTAATAAATTATATCCTGTGTTGGGACCGATGGCCAAAAAAGCTAAATCATGTCAGGTTTTACTATCCTTTCAAGGACATTTGGTACTTGCAATACAATTTAAAGTGACACTTTAACTAAAATTTGAAAATTCTGTCATAAATGTCTTTCTTTTTCCCTTCACTTGTTCAAAACCATTGGCTTCAATTTTAGAACCTACTATGGATTTCAGTGGTTACAGGTTTTCAAATTTCTTCATATTATCTTCTTTTGTGTTTAACAAAAGTAAGAACTTGTAAAGCTTTATAACCACTAAAGTCTAATAGTAAGTGAATTTTCATTTTTGGGGTGAACGATCCCTTTAAACAGGATTATGAACTGAGAGATTGAAATTATCTTGACATTTAGTATAAGAGGTCACTTTAATATAGAAACATTCCACAACAAGTTGAGGAACTTGACATTTTATCACACAATAGTGTGTCTAAACTCTGCCTCCACAAAAGGAAGATCAGCACCTGCTTCTACATCACTGACTATTTAGTTCCGCCCACTTATTTAGGAAATTTATCATAGATTTTAAAAAATATTTTAATTAAAAGATGTTGATTTGTCAATTATATTGCATATGATATTATATTATATTGGGAATTGTAATATATTATATTGGGTATTGTAATATATTATATTGGGTATTGTCGCAACAAACAAGGGCACATAACACATTATTACACTGTAAAAAGAGGAAACTTAAACAAATGACTTTGACTTGTTACAATTAAATGAATTAAGTTAGACAAACTTAACAGTTTTCAGTAATAAGATAAGTTAGTTGTTTAAGTTGTAACAGGTTTTAGTAAGTTATTTATGGCAAGAATAAGTATTGTTCACTATCAATAATAAGCAATACTTGTATTTGCCAAAAGACATTAAAGTATTATTTTTATATTAAGAAGGGAAGGGAATTATTTTTACTGTAAAAAAGTACTTTTTACTAGTATTATTATATTTACAATATTGCATTGAATGATTTGTACTGTACTGTATGTACTGTTCCATTCTTGTTTTCTAAAATAAATTACTAAAACTCGTTACACCTAAAATAACTCATTTAATTTTTTACTGAAAACTGTCATAAATTAAGTTTGTCAAACTTAATTCATTTAATTGTAACAAGTAATTTGTTTAAGTTTTCACTTTTTACAGTGTACATGGTCACTCTACTGTAAAAAAATCCTGTTTGTCTTAAATATTTAAGCTGAATCAAATTAACTTTATGATTCTATTGAACTTATATGATGTTAAACTGACCTAAAACAGCTCATGTAACTTATAAAATTAAGTTAGAACATGATTAACTTAGTTTAATAAGTTACAATGAACTAAAAACGTGTTGTCATGACTAATTTATCATATAATTTTTTACAGTGTATTGATTTAGAAATGTTACCAATCACAATCCGCCCTGCATATTTAGATGGTGTGCTTCAACAAGAGAGATAAAAATTGACATAAATCAGCCTATTGTGATATTTTAATTAAAAACTTTAATAACAGCATACATGGACATCAACGAATGGGTACAATATTCAAAACAGGCCATTCGTAACTCCTTCAAGCCAGAATACACACACAAATTATTTTAAGCCCGCTGTTTTAACTGCATTTGTTTGTGTGATGTACAGATGAAGCAGAGAGTCTTCTATCAGATGACAGCGCTGAAGGCCTGACCACGATGGACCTCCTCAGTTTCACCTATCAAGTGGCTCGAGGGATGGAGTTTTTGGCCTCTAAGAATGTAAGCTAAATCCTGTTTCAGTGGGATAACTGTTGGTTTATTTAGTAAACATTTGCTTTTGATCTCGCTTATGCCTGCAGTTTAGACATAACATTGAGGCGTAACATTAAAGTAATTCTGGATGTCTTTGCGGAGGAGGTGATTTGATGGCAGGTTTATATATTTGAGAAAGTGGCTGAATGTGTGTGTTGTGGCTGTATAGTTAAAATACATCGGACTGAGGGTTTGCAGAAATCCCCTGGTTAACTGAAAGCTAAGAAAGAGAGGTCAATAATTGAAAATGCTGTTATGCAAATGTTAATTAGACATCGTTTGTTTAAAATCTAGTAACAGACATTTTCCCATATCTCGTCTTACAAATGAACAAGGCATTCTAGACCACCCTTGAAGATGAGGAGGTGGAACAGCGCACAAATCGGCAGCTGCATCAGGGAGACTTAAACACTTAGTTCTTAAAGTCTTAGTTAACTAGATACATGTTAAATATAACAGAAAATAATACATATATCTTAGAAATATGAGCTTTGTAAATAATAATAATATATATATGAGCAATATCACGCAAGTAGCAGTGTGATATGGCTGTATATCGGCACTGGTGGGAGGCTTGCATTGGCTCGAGACTGCATGCCGAGTGCCTTAGTGTCCCACCAGTGCCAATATACAGCCACATGGCGCTGATACTGCTGTGATATTGCGTTAACAGTTTGAAAGCAAAATCATGTGTATAAAAAGTAAATAAAACATGGAGCGTCTCAATAACCCTTTGAGGAACTACTTTCTTCCACCATGTCAGAACAGCAGAAACCGTTACTACTTCACAAATGTCACTTTAGAGCAGGTTTTTGAAATATTCTCAGGCGTGATAAATATCATAGATATTTTAATAAGTAAAGTAATGACAAAACAGGTAATTTTTGCTCATATTTTAAGAGTGTAAGGCTGAATGACATGAAATTAGTCTACAGAGATTTCCCAGTATTTATCTGTTGCATTTTGGATATCACAATAATTAACCCCGAAAAAGCCAGAGCAAAGCAAACACTACCAATTTCTCTTGTATAAATACAGCACAAAATACAAAAGAGAGATATCAACTTAGAATGTCACTGACCTGATTTATAATAATTTGTTCAGCTGTAGTTTGAAACTTATGCTGAGAAAATGCTGAGTTTTTTTCCCCTAAGGACTTATCATGCGCTCTCTGTCGCCATCTTGTGGCAGAAAGTCAACCGTCACTTTCTTTGGTCTGCTCAGACAGGCTGATGGCGGCCGATGCACTGAATCTGATGCTCCGAAATTTTGTATATTTTTAAATAGGCACTATTCTTATAAATAAACTGCATATTTGCAATCTAAACAACTATAATCTCACCTAAAAAGGCCTCAAAAGTACATTATGTTGTGCAACAGCAGCAATATTTGTCAAAGTGTAGAGTGTCGCTTGTCGCTGTATGTGGGCGGAGTAATACACAAGGGTGAAGAGGCGGTACGAGTACTGTTATTTGCAGAATAATGCATGGCTATCAGCCAATCAGATTCAAGAACCGTTAACAGAACTGTTGTATAAATTTGTATACATTTAATACACTAAAATTACAGTTTTTAATTAAGCTATTAACATTAAATTAAAAATAAAATAAAAATTGACATTATTAAATCTGTTAATTGTGTGGCACTCATAGACTAAAATATTTAAAATATTGTTCTTTTTTGTGCTGTAATTAGCATGGTATTAAAACATGTCTGTACTAAATGATAATAAATATAATATTGATTTACAGTATAAAGACCTAAAATAAACTAATTGGGTAACACTTTACAATAAGGTTCATTAGTTAATGAATTTACTAACATAAACTAATCATGAACAACAAATGTACAGCATTTATTAATCATAATTGAACATTTACTAAAGCATTATTAACATCCAAGTCCATGCTTGTTAACATTAGTTAATGCACCGTGAGTTAACATGAACTAACAATGAACAACTGTATTTTCATTAACTAATGTTAACTAACATGAACAAATACCATAGTAAATGTATTGTTCATTGTTTGTTCATGTTAGTAAATGCATTAATTAACATTAACTAATGAACCTTATTGTAAAGTGTGACCACTAATTGTTGATTCTGATTTGATATATATATATATATATATATATATATATATATATATATATATATATATATATATATATATATATATATATTACTTTGAACATTTTCATGGGAAAATAAGAATAAACAACATCAAAGTTACAAAACACAAAGATACAAAATTCATACATCTCAAATAAGCATAAAGTGTCTCTAATACCACAACTTACTGAAGCTGAACTGAATCTCTCAGTGCCAAACCTCTCTTTGAGTGTGTGTTTTTCTGTCTTTTTCTCTCAGTGTGTGCACCGAGACTTGGCTGCACGAAATGTCCTGCTGTCTCAAGGCAAGATAGTGAAGATCTGTGACTTTGGACTGGCAAGAGACATCATGCACGATAACAACTATGTCTCCAAAGGAAGCGTGAGTGCTAGTCTTAGTCCAAATCTGGTGTTTCTGAATACTCTTCCTAGATTATGGATATTATCAGTACTTTACTTGTCCTTCTTTGGAAAAAGCGACATAACGATTTGTTTCTTCTGTCTCGAACACACAGACGTTTCTTCCAGTGAAGTGGATGGCTCCTGAAAGTATTTTTGATAATCTCTACACAACGCTGAGTGATGTCTGGTCTTATGGCATCTTATTATGGGAGATCTTCTCTCTCGGTATGTTTCATATCACCATACAGGTATATGTCTTTAGGCAAACTAATAGTTAATACCATACTTTCTTACACTGTAAAAAACAGTAAATTATATATATATATATATATATATATATATATATATATATATATATATATATATATATATTTATTTATTTATTTATTTATTTATTTATTTATTTTATTTTATTTTATTTATTTTTTTTGGTAGTTTTATTTTGTAGATTTTGTAGGATTTTTGTAGTTTTATTTTTTTGTTTTGTTTAGTTTAATTTTTGTAGCTTTTGTAGTTTTATTTTGTAGTTTATTAGTTTTATTTTGTAGTTTTTTGCAATTTTATGTAGTTTTTTGTAGTTTTATTTTGTTGGCTTTTTATAGTTTTATTTTGTAGTTTTTAGTTTAATTTTGTAGTTTTATTTAGTAGATTTGATTAGTTTAATTTTGTAGTTTTATTTTGTAGTTTTATTTAGTAGTATTTTGTAGTTTTATTTTGTAGTTTTTGTAGTTTTATTTTGTAGTTTTGTTTAGTTTAATTTTGTAATTTTTTTGTAGATTTATTTTGTAATTTTTATTTTTATTTTTAACGCAATAATTCATATGAATTTAATTGTATTATCTTACTATTTCTAAAGATGTTTAGTGACTAAAATATTGATTATAATATTTTTACTGTGTATATTAAGGTGGCAGCTTTGGTTACCAGAATTGTACTGTTAAAGAAATGAAATTTTTGAAAATTTAGCAATTTTTGTAGTTTATAAAACAGTCTCACATATATGATTTGTTGTTGTCGTTTGTGTAGGAGGGACGCCTTATCCCGGCATGGTTGTGGATTCCAGCTTCTACAACAAGATCAAGAGTGGATACCGAATGACCAAACCTGAGCATGCGTCCAGTGATGTGTACGTGCATCTCCACTGTTTTTCCGCAGTTCTTGTCTCCGGCTGCTGCAGATCTCTGACCGCTTTGTTGTTGTTTTTCTGTGTGCAGCTATGAGCTCATGATGAAGTGCTGGAACAGTGAACCGGAGAAGAGACCATCTTTCCACAGTCTGAGTGATACAGTGGCATCTCTGCTGCCCTCAGGATTTAAGAGGGTGAGTCTGAAACATCAGCATGACATTTCAAGACTCTCCTCTGTTTCTCGGTTTTATCACACACTAAGTCATTGATTGACTGTTGGATCATTGCTGAGTCAGCTTAGTTTTTGTGGTTTTTACTTCAGGTCTGATCATTTCAATATGCGAATATATGCATAATGACATGGAGTGAAGAAAGAGAATGTTATTTATATTAAATATATATTAAATATAAAATGTCAAGCAAGCAGAGTTTATTTTTCCTACTTTCAGTTTGAACTTTTTAGGCCAAACATATTTAATGCCACTGCCAATTTTTGTTGCCACCAATATTTTTTTTTTACTGTTATCAGATAATAATACTATATATAATTGGTATTATCATAACTAAAATATAATAGATTTTATTTTGTGTGCAGAAAGATTTCAGAGTTAGTTGTAGCTGATGCATTGATTGGCAAAGAAAATCTATTTTTTGTACATTATTTATGTTTGTTTGTTTGTTTGTTTGCTTTATTTATAGAGCACATTCAAAAGTTCTTTACCAAATGACCAACATACAAAATCTATACTATAAACAAAATAAGTAAAACAGATTGCAATTAAAAAGCAATAGACAGAAAGTGTTTTTTAAAATGAGACTTAAAAGCACCATGGGAGCAGTATGACCTGATAAGTAAAGGCAGACCATTCCACAGACTAGGAGCTGTGACAGAAACAGCCCTTTCACCTCTTGATTTTACCCGTGAATTGGAAACAACTAGCTGAAACTGGTTTTCTGACCTGATTGGCCTCAATAAAGTGTGCCAGTGAAATAGCTCACCAATATAAGTAGGTGCCAGACCATTCAAACCTTTAAAAACAAATAACAATAACTTGTATTAAATCCTAAATTGGATCGGGAGCCCATGAAGGGATGATAAAACTGGTGAGACACTAAATTTTTTTTTGTTCCAGTTAAAAATCCAATTGAAGCCTGCAAAACTCCTGAATACAAAGAGTTGCAGTAGTCCAATCTGGACATAATAAACACATTGATGATGGTTTCAAACTCCTTAAAAGAAAGAAAAGACTTCAATTTGGCAATGTTCCTAAAATGATAGAAACCACTTTTGACGACTGAATTTATTTGCTTGTCAAACTTTAACGGTTTAAAAAATCAGTTCAGTTTTTGATTCTTTCAAGTGAAAAATAATGACCCGCCAGCCATTCCTTAATGTCATTAAAACAGGTAAAAGTGACTGTAAAACAGAGTTTACTCCATTTTGATGGTCACATAAAACTGCGTATCATCAGCACAAAGATGATTATGCTACTTACAGATAGCAGCCATTAATATTTTTAATTAATCTTTGTTAATGCAATTAAAAAAAATCAACTATCCATACTGTTTATTAATGCTAGAAATCCATCAAAGATGAGTGCAGATTTCAGTTTTAATAAATGTTGAGTTAAATAAGGTTATTAAATACTTATTATTAATATCATTATTTTTAATTCACTAGTTCATGTTACTATTGTAATCTTACAGTATTAAAATGTTGCAATTAATAATATTGTAATAATATTGTAATATCCTATCAAAAAATAAAACAAATCTATTATTTTTCCAATCTATTATCTATAAAATCTATTATAAAAAAAGGAAATTAGCACAAAAAGCACACTGGAACTATGAATATTCATTCATTCATTTTCTTTTCGGCTTTAAAAGAAAATTTTATTTATTAATTTGGGTTCGACGCAGCGGATGCCCTTTTAGCTGCTACCCATCACTGGAAAACACCCATACATTCTCACACATACACTACGGAATATTTAGCCTACCCAATTCATTTATACCGCATGTCTTTGGATTGTGGGGGAAACTGGAGCACCCAGAGGAAACCCACGCGAACATGGGAGAACATGCAAACTCCACACAGAAATGCCAGCTGACCTAGCCAGGGCTCGAACCAGCAATCTTCTTGCTGTGAGGTGACTGTGCTACCCACTGCGCCACTGTGACACCCCAATATGAAAACAAATAAGTAAAATAAATTTGATTTTATTTTACGTTCATGAGCCATGTATTTTGTCAAAGAAAAATACCAAATTGCACAGGAAGAAGGAATCTGAGTTATAATAAAACACAACCAACATCTTCCTGAATGTGATATTTTAAAGTGATTAAATCTGTTCTGAAACTAAATTAAATCTTATGATAGTCTCTTTTTGATAATAATACACTGAAACTGAAAACTATAATGCAAAATTAAACCTATAATAATAATAATAATAGCCTGCCATGCCCTAATAAATGCCCAAGATAAAAGTATGGTGGAAATGGCTTCCCACTTCCTGCAGCTTAAATGCAGTGTGTCAGTCTGGGCATTGAGGTCTTTGGCTAGGTGAATGTCATCACTGCCAACACTGCCAGACCACTAACAGAGATTAGCACACTAGCGCTCCAGCTGGCTAACGCCCCAGCAGGGCAAAACCCAGCAGTGCTAATCATCAGAAGCATACACTTAGCATCCACTAGCTAGCCATAATTGCCCTATTAAACAGACGCCACACGTGGTACTTCAAAACGTCACTTTGGCATGGGGAAAGACTAGCTCCTGTTATAGCACCTATAACTGGGGTGTGGTGGGAAATGCGGTTCGCAAATGGGCCTATAAGCCTTCAAGTAACCACAGAATGACTGCCGAAATGGGGCAGAACTTCAGGGTTGAGCCGCGTTTATGGCGGTGATGAAGTGCTGTTTACAACTGCCAAAAATGATTCAATTTCTCCCTCATTTCCTTCAATCTGATGCATTAAAAGAAACAAGAGAAGGCCTAATTTGAGATTAATGTTCTTTAATTTAATGCTGGTCACATAAATCTTACAGTATATAGAAACTCTTTTTATATATATGTTTGTCATCGCTCATGCTCTATTACACTTTCAGTTGAACTTTTATGAAACAAAGACAAGGTTTCCAAGCGTCAAAACTATAAAAGTGCAATGCAGCTTTGATTTTGTTGTTGTATACAGTAAAAACGCATATTTTATTTTACATGGATTAACATGTGTCCTAATATTATGAGTTACAGAAGATAAATGTCATTCATTTTAACACTAGTTTATATACCAAACAAAAAAAAATATCTAGAAAAGTAATTATTTAATGACTTACGCAGGCTTCCTTCTGGTACGAGGAGGAATACTGAATAATGAAAGAAAAAATAATAATACTTTAAACCCTTTGACTCGAACAATTACACTGATGTGATCAGCACCGGCTGTTCATGATGTTATCGTACTTTTTACTTTAGAAACAGTAGCCTAGTTTTAATTAACTTTTAAAAGCACATTTTAAACGTTTACTTTTATTTATTTATTTATTTTACCTACAAGCACAGTAATTAATTTCCAAACTTCCAAAGTAATTAATTAATTTCCAAACTATTTATAATGTTTAAAGTGGCTGACAATAATAAATATTCCTAATAATAATAGGAATTAATCTGTCTCATCATCATGGTGGTACTTGGAGAGACATTTTTTTTCTGAGGTGGTACTTGCTGAAAGAGTTTGAGAACCACTGACTTAGAGCAAGAAATGTTTAATAATCTAAAGTATATTAAAATTATTTAATAAGTACAGGTTAGAAATAGAATGATGTTTCAACAATGAACCATTTCATCCTTATCTTGACATTTTATTATTAGAAATTTAGACACTTATTTGCATTTAATAAGTTTTTTTTTTTTACGTACAATTGAAATCAAAATTATTATTGTTTTTTTTTCAAATATTTTCTAAATTATGTTTAACAGAGCAGGGAAATTTTTACAGTATGTCTGATAATATTTTTCTTTCTGGAAAAAATCTTATTTGTTTTATTTCGGCTAAAATAAAAGCAGTTTTCCATTTTTTTCTAAAAACATTTTATGGTCAAAATTATTAGCCACCTTAAGCAATTTTAATTTTTTTTTCCGATAGTCTACAGAACAAACCATCATTATACAATAACTTGCCTACTTACCCTAACCTACCTAGTTAAGCTAATTAACCTAGTTAAGCCTTTAAATGTCACTTTAAGCTGAATAGAAGCGCCTTGAAACATATCTAGCCAAATATTATTTACTGTCATCATGGCAAAGATAAAATAAATCAGTTGTTAGAAATGAATTATTAAAACTATTATGTTTATAAATGTACTATAAAAAAATCTTACTGTTAAAACAGAAATTGAGGAAAAATATACAGGGGGGCTATAATAATTCTGACTTCAACTGTCTTTAAAACCCTTTAATAAATGTATTTGTTATGCAGACCCCAAAATTAATTTATTTGCATTCTATCATGCAGTGTTATGAACGTGTGAATCATGACTTCCTGAAGAGCGATCACCCTGCTGTGACTCGGGTGCAGTGCATTGACAATGACGATGCCTACATGGGTGTGCTCTACAAAAACCAGGGCAAAATGAAGAACCGTGAGAGTGGCTTTGATGAACAGAGACTCAGCTCTGACAGCGGCTACATCATTCCTCTGCCAGACCTGGATCCACTTTCTAACGAAGACTACAGCAAGAGGAACCGCCACAGGTACAACACTAATCACATTGCCTTCTCACTTTGGTCTGCTATTCAGAGACCTGTTTTAAAGAAACAACTAGAGATATACTTAAACCCCCATTAGGGGGTGGAAAAATCAATATGTGAATAAGCGAGTCATTGAATTATTCACTCAAACGATTCATTCAGAATGGCTGATTTATTCATGAACAAAACAACCGACTGGCTGCATCTAAAATTGCATTCTTCCTTACTATATAGTAGGTGTAAACAGTATTGGGCAAATAAAGGATGTCAGAATTGGAAAAAACTGCAGATCAGTAGGATTGCATGGCGACCAGATTACATTCAAACTGCACACAATCATACTATATAGAGCACAGGTGTCAAAGCCAGTTCCTGGAGGGCTGCAGCTCTGCACAGTTTAGTTCTATCCCTAATTAATCATTAGAGTCAGAAAACCTTGTCCCCTCTATTATGTAACATTACAGATTTAGTTTATACTACTTGTATTATTTATACTTAAAAATAGAACAGATAGATTGGAACTATGCAAAATGGACACATACCTCTAGTCTTTAGCTGCGTCCCAAATGGCACACTATACACTATGCACTCATGCATTATGTTCTTATGCACTTACACACTCAACAGGATAGTATATGTATGTAGTGTTGTCCCAAATGGCACACTAATGTTTTTTTACCAAACGGAAATTCAAACCGTTTCCCTAATGACGTTTGACGGTCGCCAAATCAGTGAAATGAACGACCGACTTATCAAATAATACCTGCCGTGAGTATTGCCGCATTCACCATCGGGAGGCGCTATAATCACTCTCGTAGGAGAATTTTGCTTTCACACTCCAAAATAAATAGTTATTCAACATGTGCATCCGATAGCTCCGCCCCTTCCGCTACGTAAGCAAACCTGCGGTCGTTGAGTGCGTGAATTGTCCATCAATCCACACTTCATTTTAGCGGCTGAATGAGTGCATCATCCGGGTAATTAAAGTGCTCTTATTATTTTTAGAGTTTTCAGTGTGAACACACTACTTACACTATTTATACTACAAAATGGCGTAGAATAGTGCATAAGTATGCGATTTGGGACGCAGCTCTTCTTTCATTCTATACATCATAAAAATTTAAATGTCTTCTTTCTTTCTGTAGCTCTCAGACATCGGAGGAAAGCGCGATAGATACAGGCTCTAGCAGCTCCACGACCAAGCGTGAGGGAGAGACTCTGGAGGACATCACCTTGCTGGACGAGATGTGCTTGGACTCAGGAGACCTGGTGGAGGACAGCTTCCTGTGAGAGAAAGATGCAAAGAGAGAGAAACAGACATCTGCAGACTTTTCATTCCAAGTGCACAGATCTCTCTCTGCGTCATCTTGTCACTTTTTCTTCACCTCAGTCTTATGGAGCCCTTAGAAAAAGAAGACTTTTGATACGTGAATGTCATTGATGTTTTTTTTTTGGATGAGACATCGCCCTCTACAGGTCTGGAGGAATGAGCAGGACTCTATGAGCACTCTTGAAGAGGCTCAGTCTAATGGAGCCAAGACCAACGAAGAGGAGATTTATCTTTCTGTGTATCGTTTCTCTGTGTTTGTGCGTGAGAGTGAATTGTGCGAACTTTATTTTTGACGGGCATTCTGATCAGCAATATAAGCATGTCTTTCATATTAATGACCTGGGTTGTTTCACAACTGCTACCTTTCAAATGAATCCATCTGAGCTATAAAGAAAACCACTACAGAGATTAAAAAATGGGTCAATGTGGCTTCTATTTTAGACCAGGCCTGTTATTTTCCCCCTCACTCCCACAGTTTTCCAGGATCTTACATACAATGCATTGCACCAACTAAACAGCGCAAACCTTGGAAGATATAATGTAATGTTTGTGTTAATGTCTCCATATGTGTGAGGCAGTTTGAGATTTATTTTTGTACGGTTTGGATATATTATTTGTGAATTCTGGGTGGGGTTGGGAGAAACTATGTAGTCCTAAAATGAAGAAAATGGCTGTGTTTTGACCTGTGAGTCACATTTATTTATGTGACTTCAATTTGATACAACACTATTTATGATATCTTAATGTCTGACCAAAGTTTTTACGGAAGAAATGTTTGACACTTGTCAGTTTGAGGCATTAATGATATTTAGAGCTATGCTTTTGAAAAAAAAAAGAGATAATCCAAATGAACACGCTTATTTCATGTAATCTTTCAGTATATGTCTGGCATTTTCCAGGGTCTGGGATTTTGTTATGCACAAATACATTGTGTTTCAGACTGTTTCCTAAAGTTTTACTTTCCTGTTCAATGGATTTTATATACTGTATGAGCATTTTAACCAAATGGAAATATCAATCAAGCCCTGGCAGATGTGCTGTTTGCTGCTCATTAAGATTTATGCAGATCCCCCTAAAGCAAAGCAATTAAAAATCACAGTGTAGATTTACACATAGCCAAATCCTGTAGTCTTGAAGCATTGTAGAAACACATCATTTAGATTTTTTTTTTTTTTTTACTGTGATGTTATACATCATTGTTTATTGTAAATGTGTATCATTGTATATCAGCATATCACTGCCTGCCCCCCATCTTTAACCTCTGTGGTATGTTCCACAGGCATGTCGAGAGGAGATATATATGTAAAAAAAACTATTGCACTTTTAAAAACTCTTCTTTTAAAATCTTATTTGAGCGTTTCGTTATTCTGCTTTTGTTATGTGTGTGTGTATGTGTAGGTGTTTAAAAACATGTCTGTGCCACAAAAAGATGGTAAATGATTTCTAGAGACAGTAGAGTGAATGTTCTTGTTGTGCAGGAAGAGGGAAAACAAAGGAACGGTATGAAGTATATTCTATGGTACAATATGTGTAATTCTAGGTAGTTATTCCCTTTACAAATGCTATTCTTTTGCTATAATATGCATTATGACCATGTACATTCAAAAGATTTATATTTCAATAAATGAGATTTAATGGACTATTGCACAGTTTTATCAAGTTTTATTTTATTTTTTGAGAACTTGTTTTGATTATAAATCACTGACACAAACATCCGAGAGAACGATTGAGACATCATTATATTTATGAACCTGGGATCCAAAAAAAGCTGTTTAAAAATATTCAATTAGCCATAATATGTTGATGTTAATCTATATAAATTTGTTAGTCCTGTGTACCTAATTAGGTACATCTTACTATTACCGGGTTGGACCCCATTTTGCCTTAAGAACTGCCTTAATCCATCATGGCATAGATTCAACAAGGTACTGGAAATATTCCACAGAAAATTTGGGCCATATTGACATGATAGCATCATCTGCAAATTTGTCAGTTGCACATCCATGATGTGAATCCCCCATTCCACCACATCCCAAAAGTGCTCTATTGGATTTAGAACTGGTGACTGTGGAGACCATTTGAGTACAGTGAACTCATTGTCATATTCAACAAACCAGTCTGAGATGATTCACGCTTTATTGCATGACACGTTATTCTGCTGGAAGCAGCCATCAAAAGATGGGTACACTGTGGTAAAAAAGGATGGGCATGGTCAGCAACAATACTCAGGTAGGCTGAAATGGGCCTAAAGTGTACTAAGAAAATACCCCCCACACCATTACACTACCATCACCAGCCTGAACCGTTGATACACAGCAGGATGAAGCCACGCTGTCAAGTTGTTGATGCCAAAATCTGGCCCTAACATCTGAATGTCGCAGCAGAAAATGAGACTTATCAGACCAGGCAACGTTTTTCCACATTTCTATTGTCTAATATTGGTGAGCCTGTGCGAATTGTAGCCTCAGTTTCCTGTTCTTTGCTGACGAGTGGCACCTGGAGTGGTCTTCTGCTGCTGTAGCCCAATTACCTCAAGGTTCAACATGTTGTGTTTTCAGAGAAGCTCTTCTGCATACCTCAGTTGTAACGAGTGGTTATTTGAGTTACTGTTGCCTTTCTATCAGCTTGAACCAGTCTGGCCATTCTCCTCTGACCTCTGGCATCACAAGGCATTTGCACCCAGAACTGCCGCTCACTGGATATTTTCTCTTTTTCGGACCCTTCTTTGTAAACCGTAGAAATTATTGTGAGTAGATCAGCAGTTTCTGAAATATTCATGCCAGCCTGTCTGGCACCAACAACCATGCCACATTCAAAGTCACCTAAATCACCTTTCTTTCCCATTCTGACGCTTGGTTTGAACTGCATCAGATCGTCTAGACCAGTGCTCCTCAAACTTTTTTCATCAAGTAGGCTACCACCTCGGAAAAAAATTTAAGCAGTACTGAAATACAATAGCGTAGTAAGCCCAGTAAATCAGCTACAGTTCTGCACAGTTCAAAAACGTGGCAGATTAATTCTTATTATTAAGAATGTTTATCATCGTCGGCCACATTAAACATAAATAGTTGGAACGTTAACACTGTACTGTGCTTACATGTAAAACAAACAAACTAAAAACGTCAACATTTAAATTTAAATGTGTTTAAAGTAAAAAGAAAAGTGCTGTACTTAAATTTAAAGTATTAACTTATAGTAGCCAATTCTTCAACACCTAAAAATGTTGCCTGGACCTCAGAAGTACAGGCCCAAGGCCATATGTCACATAATGAATACTATTACAGGTCATATTCATATATAAATAATACTTTTTGATAAATTTAGAAATATATGTAGCATATACATATGACATATTTGATTCCTCCACGTACAACTAGAAGGAAGCCCGCGTTCCACATACCACAGTTTGAGAACCACTGGTCCAGACCATGTCTACATGCCCAAATGCACTGAGTTGCTGCCATGTAATTGCCGTTAACGAGCAGTTGGACAGGTGTACCTGTAAAGTGGCTGGCAATTTTTATATACATATTAGCACCCTTGTATATTTCCCCCCCAATTTCTGTTTTTCCACACATTTCTAAACACAATAGTTTTAATCACTCATCTATAATTTCATTTATCTTTGCCATGATGACAGTAAATAATATTTTACTAGATATTTTTTCAAGACACTTATACAGCTTAAAGTGACATTTAAAGGCTTAACTAGGTTAATTAGGTTAACTAGGCAGGTTAGGGTAATTAGGCAAGTTATTGTATAATGATGGTTTGTTCTGTACACTATCAGGAAAAATTAGCTTAGAGGGGCTAATAATTTTGACCTTAAAATTGTGTTTAAAAAATTTAAAACTGCTTTTATTCTAGCCAAAAGAAAACAAATAAGACTTCCTCTAGAAGGAAAAATATTATCAGACATACTGTGAAAATGTCCTACCTCTGTTAAACATCATTTGGGAAATATTTAAAAAAAGAATATAAAAATCAACGAGGGGCTAATAATTCTGACTTCAACTGCATATATATATATATATATATATATATATATATATATATATATATATATATATATATATATATATATATATATATATATATATATATATAACCCTTTAGAATATTAATCATATATTTCTTTATAGGTCTATTAATTAATTAATTTATTTATCTATACTCTATGCTTTTAGTTTTACACCAACATAGTAAACTAAGTAACTAAACTAGTAACGTTTCTATACTTTTACCACTGTTACTTTTAACATAATTAAAGCATATTTAGTGTGGGCAGTCTCATATTGAAAGCTACACATTTCCCCCATGCAGCTTTGCGCGAATTACGGAAGCAACTTCCGTTTATTAAACTGGAGGGCTACTACAAGGTGGCATCTCCTCACAAATCATCACATTAGCAGAAATTCACATTTCTTTCAGCAGACCACGAATAGACTAGGCCAAAAAAACTAGCTACTAATGTCACGTTTAAATAATTCCATTAAGAATTAAGGTAAAACTACAAATTACATTTTCACTCCGGATTATTAGTAGCGCGCCATCGGTTTGTAATAATTTGTTTGTTTGTTTTTGTAGGAAAACGTAAAAGTTATTTACATCGTGCTAACAGCTTGAAAATCATCGCCCTGGTGAAGCCTATAGCTGAAATGCAGCTCAAATATCCATTTCAACTTCTCAGACCGCCAACTCATGCATTAACGTTACAGGTAAATAATTTCTTTCTTAAAACGTTTATGATTAAACCATTATGTCAATAACGTTATGCCAACTACCGCTCTCGACTACAATTGAGCATACAAATTAAATTATCTAATTATTTACCATGATTTCGACGGAGGAATCTTAACCAACAACTATTAACATAGCCAATTTCAAATTCAAGGCGTTCTATTAGGCATTGTTATGTAGTAAGAGCGAATGGCCACCAGAGCGCGCAATGGCATTATCTGTGAGCGCGCGAGTGAGAGCGCGCGTTCACTCGCTGCTATCTCTCCTTCGCATGGTTTGTTTAAATATTGTTACAGCTGGAGTTCTGGTTGCACCGCCTTCGTCTTACCTTGTGATACCAAAGTTAAACATTGAGAGAGTTTCTGGTTTTACAACAACAGGATATGCAAATAGACGGATTAGTGAGGAAAACGAGATAGGGTGTATGATAAATGTGATAAGGGTGCTATGAAACGTTTATTTAAGTGTACAATGATTTGAAAGCAGTCATCTCTATATGGGGAAAACCCCTTTAAAGGACAGTTTTTGTGACCCAGGAAATAGAGATACAGACTATACAGGCTACATAGATGCCGGGAGACTATTTAAAATGTTTTTAACAGGATGTAAACATGTTTTATTGCTTCATCATTTAGTGAAACATATTTTATTTCAAGTGTGTATCCTGTGAGAGTTATGAAAGTGTTTGGAGGTCTAGTGGAAA